AAAAAATAAAGGTAAGACATTTTAGCTGAAGGCTAAATCGGAAAGTGTGATAAAGTGAAGGTCTGTGTTTAAAAAAAATCAAGATGTTTATATTTTAGATGCAAAGAGACAGTCCATTACTGAAATAAGACCGTCAACACGATACAAAAGAACCACTAAAACATGATTAAAAAGAAAGTACTACACTGAAATAGCAGCTGGAGAATATTGAAGCTCAGCTTGCTTCTCAGATAAAAAGGTAATAAAGCATCCCTTCAAATAAAGAAGATACTATATTGAAGAAGGAATAATTTTGTCTAGGACTGAGGACGCACAATTCAGACAAGATGGGAAGGGCTGAACCAGAGGCCCAGCCTTTGATACCTAAAACCTTATCTACAGAGTTCTTTAAGATAAAGAGAAAAACTCAGTTTAGAAATAGGGGCAGTATGCCTATTCCATCAGCCAATTTAGGTGCAGATGCAGAAAAAAATCAATAGGTCAAAAAATAGAACTATTAAAACTATGAATTGGCTAAATTATGATGTTGCAGAAATGGTTACTCATTCAGTTAGAGTTAATTCATTGTTAAATTATGTGTCACGTTGCTTTGTACTTTTTATGTGTACATGCAGTGTTATGAATGCATAGTTTTCCTTATTATCATTGCTATTGCTACTGCTGTATTTCCTTTCTCCTTATTTGAAGCAGCCTATTAAATGGTGCTTTTCATTAAATTTATGTTGTATATAATGTTATTTGAACTTGATGTACCCCCAAATGATTTTCAGGGAATGAAATTACTTGGCCATGGAGAGAAATTAATACCAAGCTACAATGGCCTCTCCCATATTGATATTTGTTCTCTATCTTTAAGAGGCAATGGGATCTTAGAGTAGGAGTTTAACTAACTGGTATTGTTTAAGGAATCTCTAAGGGGACTGGGATTCTTAGCTGTTGTTCTGAAGGAACAATTGTGATGACTGAAGAGAGGACAGAGGAATAAAGGACTAAAAGGACTTGTTTCCTGACAAGCTGGGTTTAACCCTTATCTTATGTTGAAACATGAAACTAATTCTTGAAAAAAAGACTTTAATTGGTATTGTGAGAGAACTGAATGGTGGGGCTGTGTTTCTACATTGAGGCCAGCATTGATGGTGATGGCTAAAGGTGACTGTGATCTGTATTATGTTATAAATAATAATGTACGTCTTTGTTTAAGCTTTAATAGCTTAAAACTTCGCTAAGACTTTTGGAACACTGTGTGTATGTGTGAGTGTATGTACACATGTACATACATACACATTAAGCACGTATATATGTTTATACATACATTATATATACATGTTTACATATACATTATATGTATACATGCATGTACAACCATATGTATATATGAGAGAGGAAAGAAAGGCAGGAAAGAGGGAGATAGACAGGGACAGGGAGAGAGAAATGCTTATGGAAAAAGAAGTCTCCAGTTTATTAAATAAGTAGCATTTAATAAATTGTGGTAGGACCTCAGACCTGATGTTTAATATTTAATGAGAAAGTTGTTACAGTTCTACTAATTAACATAGAAATACCTCAGAATCTGGAATTAGAGAATGAATAAGGAAAATGAGGTAGTAGCAGGCAGAGGGAAGGATGATCACTCCACCCAAGCCGCATATGGGGAGCAGTCAACCCTAAACCTATGCCACACTATATATTTGTAGCAGATGAATAAATCATAAGTGTGGAAGGCTTTGAGATCATCAATAAAGGCAATATAAATGTTATGTCAATAACATATTTATTAGTAATATGTTAAGAATTTAATAATATGTTGCTATTTTGTAAATTCCCTCCATATCTGTACTTTTCATATCCATGCTCTACTGTTTTCTGAGGTTAATGATGTAAGAGGGATGTTAATTCTTCATAGTTCCAACTCTTTGATCTCTTCAGAGGGCAGATGGAAAACAAATATTAAAATACATATAGCAGGTCTGGCTCAATTGTCTTCCCTATTGATTTCTCCCTCTGTTTTAGTATTTCTGTAACAAACATAAAGTTATCAAATCTGCGGAGAGGCTTTTATTCCATGGTGCAACACTGTTTCCTTCTTATGCTGAAGATAAAATTTTAATCGCCCCTCTCAAGTGGGCGATTAGGAGAATGTGCTTTCTCTGAGTATCAGGAAAATTGATTGGGAAACCTCTCATTACTGAGAGCAGACAAGCATAACCCTCAAGGAAACTTATGGGGAAAATTAAATGCATGTTGTTGAGTCAAGAACCTTCCCTATTTTGTTGCAATGGACTTTAAGACAGCCTTTCAAGTTTCTCATTTTTTGCCAGATTCATTGCCTGTCCATTATTCTTCCTAGGCAGAACAGAAACAATTGTGTAAAGCTGAAGTTCGTGAAAGAACTCAGAAAAAGATAGGGAATGGATGTTACTGGTCTTGAGTCATCTTTCCTGGTCCCATTCTGAGGTGCCTAGATCCCAGGTGTCAACAAATAGCTTCTCATTTGACTTTCTTCTTAAAGCTTCAGCCAGGCCTCCTTTCTTAGGCTTTATCTTCTCTCCAATATTTTCCAAAGGCCCCTTTCCCATCCCCCATACATGTCACTAGAATTTGTTCTGTGCTATATCTCTTCCTTCATGGTCTAACCAACTCACAATCACGATTCCTTCAGCAAATGAACTTAGTCATGCAAATCTAACAGAGGTAGGGAATAGACTTGTGATTCCATTTACATAGGGGACTCCCAAGTGAGAAAATTCCCTTTACCTATGCAAACCAGCATGTTGTTTGTAACTTATGGCCTCAACAAGCTGCTTAGAATAATGAGGTTAAGTGACTTTCTCTGGGTCATGGAGCCAATGTGTGTCAAATGGAGGAATTGAGCTCAGGGCTTAGTGAATCTGAAGGCATCCACTCAGTATGCTATGCTTCCATCACACAGTATCTAACAAAATAACCCTTTTAACCTTTCATGACAGGTTTTAACATAGACCTTCTACAGTGAATGCCAGTAGTAGTGTGGTATAATAGAGAGAGTGCTGCATTTCATTCAGAATATCTGCATTCTAATTCAAGCCCTGATACCTAAAACCTATGTAACCCCAAACCAGTCATAGATCACAGTATAACAAACTTTGATGTTAAAGTTATGTCACCTCATTTTACAGATGAGAAGCCTGAGCTTCAAAGAAGCCAAATGACCTGCCTACAGTCATACAGACAATGAGTATCCAAGCTGGGATTTTTTTTTTATTTTAAATAATTTATTTATTTTTAGTTTTCCACATTCATTTCCCTAAGATTTTGAGTTTTTTAATCCGCCCCCCCTTCTCTCCCCTCCCCAAGATGATGTGTAATCTGATATAGGCTCTACTTATACATTCATATTAAGCATATTTTCACGTTAGTCATGATGTATAGAAGAATTAGAACTAGTGGGAGGAATCATGAGAAAGATGAAATAAAACAAAACAACAAAAGAAAAGGAGAGCAAATAGTATGCTTCCATCTGCACTCAGACTCCATGGTTCTTTTTCTGGATGTGGATAGCATTTTCCATCATGAGTCTTTTGGAGTTATCTTAGGTCCTTGCATTGCTGAGAAGAGTTAAGTCTATCAAAGTCAATCATCTCACAATGTAGCTGTTACTGTTTACGATGTTCTCCTGGTTCTGCTCATTTTACTCAACATCAGTTCATATAAGTCTTACCAGGTTTTTCTGAAGTCTGCCTGCTCATCATTTTTTTTTGGTTAGGCAATGCGGTTAAATGACTTGCCCAGGGTCACACAGGTAGTGAGTGTTATGTGTCTGAGGCCAGATTTGAACTCAGGTCTTCCTGAATCCAGGGCTGGTGCTCTCTCTACTGTGCCACTTAGCTGCCCCCATCATTTCTTATACAAGCTGGGATTTGAATCCAGGTCACCTAACCTAAACTATAATGCTCTTCCCAGGGAAAGATCACTGGATTTAAGTCAGAAGGTCTCAGTTCAAATTACAACTCCAGGATTTAATAACAATGTGGGCCAGAGAGAGTCACAAAGAATTTCATCAGAGCCTTGATTTTACCATTTGGAAAATACAAGTAATCACAGAATTGTTGTGAATCAAGTGCTTTGTAAATGTTAGGGCATTATTCCAATATGGGTTGTAAAGATGCCGTAACTCCAAGAATTTGGTCTGCCCTGTGTTGGCTCTGTTTCCACTGAGGCAAATCCTAACTTTTGAACACATTGGTCTTCATGGGTTGGGGTGGCCAAAAATGCCATGCCCGGTCCTATAGATGTGAAAGACATTGTTGTGCCTATGCTAAAGGGTTTGAAGTGAAGCCTCTTTGGGATGACCTGCCTAAGCCTTGGTTTTGCCTTCAGAGCTTTAGAGAACCCATGAGCACCTTTCCACTAGAGTGAGGATTTGGAAGAGGGATTTGTAGAGGATCGTTATGACTATATTAATGCTGTCAGTGGAAGGAAGAAGGAAATTAAGGCAGTTATGTAGTAAAATGTATAGAGTTATGGACTTGGAGTCAAGAATACCTGAATTTGAAAACTGAATTTTGAAAACACATTTGCTAGCTGTGTGACCCTGGGCGAGTTATTTATCCTCTCTGAGACTGAATTTCCTCATCTGTAATAACAGCACCTCCCTCCCAGGATTGTTGTGAGCCTGAAGTGAGATAATGAATGCAAATCTCTTTGCAAACTCTAAGACACTATCTAGTTGCTAGTTATTATTTATTATTATCATCACTATTCATTACTATTCTAGCTAATACTGGTGAACTATAGCTGAAATATTGGTGCACAAATATAGTTCACATTTATATGACACATTAAGATTCCCAGTTCTTTCCTTGAAATTGAAAGGAAGCTAGGGAACGCGGGCTTACCTGGCACCTTAGAGCGGTGCCAAGATAGCTTACTCTACTAGCTATTCCATATCATTGCCCAGGGCCTTCTGATTGCATAGAATATAGTAAAAGCATAGAAAAAGCCCAGTTTCCTCACAACCTCACCCAGCATTGTGAAGGCCCTTTTGTTGGTATACTGCCGTTTCATTCTCAGAGGGTGCACAATTCCCTGATGCCTCTCCACAGCAATGCAGGTCATAGTCAGAATCTCAGAAACAACAGCAGTAGATTGGACAAATGGCACCATCTTGCAAACAAAGGCACCTGTGACAAGAGGGGAAAATAAGGAATTAAAAATAAGTCTCGTTTAAGCAACGTATGACAAGCATGATCAATGAATCTGAAGCTTCCGGGTTTTTGCTAGTGCATATAGTATGCAAATATAATGCAGGTTTGGCACTGGCCCACTTGCACAAGCAGCCTGGCCCCTGGATGGAGCATTCGTCATGGCACTAACAAACCCCTTTCTCTCAGGGTTGGTTTACTTGTCTCACCTTGCCTTCATACTAACAACTCTGGGAGTGTTTGTTCGTTTGTTCCCCACAAAAGGGCCATTCAGATCTATGACTACCATTCAACTTGTCCCTCAGGGTCCTTAGATACTGCTGGTGTGGGAGGGATATACTTCTACTACTCACCACAGTAACACCTAAGCCCCCACCAGAGTGCTTCTTATTTACACAAAATCAGTCAGCATGACACCAATTATATAAAATATTTAGTTAACAATAAAACAAACATAAAAATAATCATAGCATTTGTACTCAATAAAAGGAAAGAGCAGATGTTGTCAAGCTGTGAGTCCACACATAAACCTGAATTAGACTTCGCTGTCAATGTTCACAGTGTCTGTGGGGGATAGTGGGCATACATGTAAAAGAAACCATTCAGGGAGGCTCCTGAATAGGGGAATCAGTGTGCCTGGAGCAACTCAGAATGTTGGATGGCATGTCTTGATGCCAGGCAAGGTCTCTTTAGATAACTGTCTGCAAATAAGAGTCATTCTCCAATGGATAAATAGTCAAAGGATATGAATCGGCAGTTTTCCAAAGAAGAAATTAAAGCTATCAATAGTCACAAGGAAAAAAATGCTCTATTGATTAGAGAAATGCAAATTAAAACAACTCTGAGATATCACCTCACATCCATCAGATTGGCTAACAGGACACAAAAGAAAAACGATGACTGCTGGAAGGGATATGGAAAAATAGGCACATTCATGCATTGTTGATGGAGTTGTGAATGGATCCAATCATTCTGGAGGACAATTTGGAACTATGCCCAAAGGGCCATAAACTTTGCATTCCCTTTGACCCAGCAATACCACTACTAGGTCTGTATCTCAAAAAGATCAAAGAAAATGAGGGAAGGGGAAACCTACTTGTACAAAAATATTTATAGCAACTCTTTTTGTGGTGACAGAGAATTGGAAATAGATGGGATGCCCACTAATTGGGGAATGGCTGAACAAGTTGTAGTATATGATTGCAATGGAATACTATTGTGATGGAATACTATCAAAATTGAAATAATGAGCAGGACAGTTTCAGAAAAACCTGGGAAAATTCATACAAACTGATGCAAAATAAAGTGAGCAAAGAGCCTAGAGAAAAGTGTACACAGTAATAGCAATATTGTAACAATGATCAATTGTGAAAGACTTAGTTATTCTGGTCAATACAATGATTCAAGATCATTCAAAAGATTCATGACAAAATATGCTAACCATTTCCAGGAAATCTGTTGAGCTCTGAGTGTGGATTGATGCATACTTTTTCAAACTTTTTTATGTTTCTTACTTTTCATTGGTTTTTTTTGGCAATGTAGCTAATATGTTTTGTATGACTTTACATATATAATTGAAATCGTGTTGCTAGCCTTCTCAATGGGGTGGAAGTGGTATGGGAGAGAGAGAATTTTGAACTTAATTTTTTAAATGGATGTAATTTTTTTAAAATAGTTAACTCTGCAACATGCATTACTTTTCTAGGCAAAACAACTATTGTGTTATCTGCTCTGCTACAAAGATGCTTCTTTGTGCTGTACTCTGTGCTGTACTCTGGCTACTGAAGAAGTGACAAACTTTTTAGTACACAGCTAGAAGTAACAAGGGACTGAGAAAGTGTTACACTCCTTTAGTGACAAGCAGTTCCCTTAAGCCAGAAACTGCCTATCTGCTCAGATCTGCAAACAGCAATGGATTTTGCTTTGTCCAATCAGTTCTTAGCAAAGCCAAACTTGTTTTTTCTTTTTTTCACACCAAAGCCTCTCCTCTGCTGCTCCCTCTCAAGTCAGAAAAGGCAGTAGAGAGCAACAAAAGCATCTGTGAGAGGTTGTCCCTTTCTTGGGCTGTAGATAGGACTAGGGAGCCATCACCCCCAATGGTTCTTCACATAGCAACAGTATTCAGCCTTCTTCCAATGAACTCCTAGCAACTGTGGAGCCTATCAGACGTCAGTCAGATATCACAGCTGACTCGGACTCAGTCAGCTTGCTATATATTGTGTCTTCTGCAAGTAACTTTTCTCCTCACTTTCTGGGCCTTGTTTCCAACTCCTCTTGTCCTTGCCTTCCTTTCCTCCTTTTCTACTCTTTCTCTGCTTGCTTCCTCCTACAGGTTCTTCCCTTGTTTTGAGGCACCGCCTCGAAGCCGTGACTCCTAATAAACAATGACCCATCTCTTACGATGAGAAACCGAATAATTCCACCTTTTTGTCAAGTATGACTCCAATAGTCCTTAAATCATTTCCCCATAATACTCAGTTACATTGTTTACTATGTTTTGATTATGGCCTTTAAAAATATGAAACTCTTCCAGAATTATTTTGTGAATTGTCCATATTTGAAGTCATAAAAATTCATGAAGAATAAGGTATGAAAGGAGTGGGATCTGCTTGTATCACATTCAAATTAACAGATGGACCACAATGTCCTACAGCAATTAGTTCAGTAATTGGTTTACCTTTAAATAGGTCACTTCAGTGCATTCATCTGAGCAACAGTTCTCTATTTGCACCTCAGAACAGTATATGTCTCTCCTCAACATTTTATCTTAGAGGATGGGCTTCTTCTCAAGTTGATTTTTATAAGGTTTTCTTTTAACACAAAACTCCTTTTCTGTCCTTTGAAATGGGATGTACCTTACATATATATGAGAAGGATCTTTGATTTCTCAGCAAGAGTAATTCTGAATGTAGGAAGTCTCTCTATCAATATGGAAACAACCCATATAACCCACTTGGGGCCCGCCAGAACCATATAGAAGTTAGGTGACTTGGTTAGGGTCACACTGCTAGTTGGTATCACAGATGGAATTTGAACCTTGTCCTTCCTACTTAGAGCTTAGCACTCTACACACTGTGGTACACTGCCTCAGTTTACATTATTACTATAAAAGAAGAGACAATACTTCTTTCATGCGTGTTTGTCCTCTCACCTCATTCAGACTTTGGATACATGCAATTTCTTCCCATTTAGTTGTTAAGCTTCTAAACCATTGATTATTATTCAGTAAAGACAATAAATGATCAAAAGCTAGCTGTAGGGAATTGACAATAATTGCAATAGGAAGGAGGGAGGGAGGGAAAGGAGAAGTGAATGTATGTTGAAGTCTTCAAAGAATTCTTCAGGATGAAATTACAGCTGAGCCTTAGCATTAAAATTCTAGTCAGTGACACTGCCATGCTACCAATGCCCTATGCTAAAAAAAAAAAAACCTTCAAATCTTCTGTTCCTCCTTAACCCATAGAGATGATTGCTAAAAAGGAGTCCTCCTTGGAAATGTCTTTCAAATCTGTCTTCATCTTGGGATTCATGGTCATTATCAGTCCAGGCACTCATATCTGAAGTAAAACAATACTTTTACTTGGTGTCTTTTGCTCTACTCTTTCTTGACTTCAGTCAATCCTGAATACTGTTGGCAGATTATTATTGCAATAGTATATTAGTAATAAAAGTGTGCGGTAGTGGAGTGAGGTAGTTATTCAAATACTCCATTTTGTCTTTCACTCCATTACCACTAATAAAAATGCTCTTACTCTTGAATGCTACCAAATTGTAATTCTCTTTATCTGATTTGTTCTCTGTGAGCCCCAAGCTAGAGACAACACTTCTGGCAAAATGACTTCTTAGATCTATCTCTAGCTCTTCCCTGGAGACGTTTCCCCTTTAGTTAACTCCTCCCACTTGTTTCCAATTAGTACACTCGGACTAGCAAACACCCATTATTAATGCTGTTTATAAAGAAAATGCAATATCTAAACCAAAGAAAGATTAACAGATTTTCCCCATGCCCTGGAGGGAAATGTTTCAGATATCCATGAAGGAGCCTAGGAGTATAAAGAAGAAAAAGTGTTATCAAGTCCAGATGGATGATAGGAAGATATTTCAGCACACAGCATCTATCTACCATCCCAGGCTTCTTTTGCTTTATGCCCCTCAATGTATTCTATGATCCAGTATCACTAGCCTTCTTGCTGGTCCTCAAACAAGACACTCTGTCTCCTAAATCTATGCCTTTTCACTGGCTGTCCCCCATGCCTGAAATGTTCTCCCTTCTCACCCTGCCCCCACCTACCTGCTTCCCCGGCTTCCTTCGAGACTCATCTCAAATCTCACTCAAATTTAAATGATATTTATTAAGTATAGACAAGTGCAAGGCATCGGGGATACTGAGACAAAAAATAAAATATTCCCTACCATCAAAGAACTTATACCTACTGAAGGTACAACATTAATGAATGAATGAAGGTGGGCATTTTACATATGCACAGATATACTCTGTGCAAGTACAACATGGTTCGAGGGGGGAGAGAATATTAATAATAGTAATAACTGATATTTATTACATTAAAATTTGCCCTTGTTATCTCATTTAGTACTTACAGTAACCCTGTATTTTGTCCTAGAGGCAAGAGCTAGGAACTGACAATTTGCAAGAAGATTGACTTGGTCATATCTGTTTTTAGAGGGTTTATTTTAGCAGCTGTATGGAAAATGTATTAGATAAGACAGCTACTGGAATAGGGAGACCTGTTAATGTTCAGGTAAAAAATGTTGAGGGCCTGAACTATGGTGGGGGCTGAGTGGAGAGAAGGGGGTGTCCTGGGAGGAAGGAGAGTAAATTGGCAAGACCTGATAACGAGTTGGATAGGGAGGGTGAGAGAAAGGGAACCATCCAAGATGACTCTGAGATTGCAAACCTTTGTAACTGGGAGTGTGGGAGTGCCTTCAACAAAAATAGAGGAGTTTGGCTCTACCCTCCC